GACCACATGTTAAATCACACATTGATTCACATGTTGAACCAAATATTGAAGTACCTGGTCTAACTTATGGTTGCTCACGGGTTGATCCCACCTTTTTACCTAATGGTGAACCGTCGGAATCCACTGATAAACCGCATGAAAAGTCAAAACCTAATGACAATCTTATTATGATTGATGCTCATTCTATTGATACACATGTCTTTGATAAATTCTTTGACGACATTATCAATGATAACTATGTATCCTCTAAAGATTCTCCCGATGATGTCCTCAATGATAACCATTAAAATGTGGAGGTTGAAACTGTAAGTGAGACATCTGATGAAAATAATAAGTTCAATCAAGAATTGCGTAATAAGGATTCTCCTCGGGGAAAAGACCAAGGGCAAGAGGAAAGGAATGTTGAAACATGTTAGAATGATAACATACCTATTGCCCACATAATAAAGAGTCTCATTAAAAGTGTAACCAGACCTCAAGACAAATACCCTTAAGTGAAGGATAAAAAGGTAGTTGAGGTTGATGAAGAAACAAAAGCTAATGAAGAATCTGGTAGGAACAAAATAGCTAGAACTATGGATAATGAAGTAAAAGAGAAGAAGAAAAAGGTTTCTCACAAAACCTCTAAGAAGAACACTGAAATTGAGAAAAAGAGAACTCTTAAACAAAAAAAAGGTTAAATAGACTACTTCTGAAAGGAAGTCTCTTAAGAGGAAACTTATCGTATCAAGTGACACTGAAACATATGTTGAAGCAGATGTCCTAAACATCATGCTCTCTTCCAGAAAAAATATTGGAGGGAAAATGGTCCCTATGAATATTCCTGCTGCTCCTTTAGACAACGTGTCTTTCCACTCTGAAGAAAGTGTAATGAGGTGGAAGTTTGTATGCTAAAGAAGAGTTGCTTTAGAAAAAGAGATGAGTAAGGATACTCTTGAATGTCAAGAAATTTGGCACTTGCCAAAAAAAGCTGGATTATTGAAAATTGTGACAAACGTTTGTCCTTGTTATTAGAAGCTTGTTAAAGAATTTATTGTTAATTTGTCACGTGATTGCATTAATGAAATGAGTAAAGAATTCTGGAATGTTTATGTTAGAGGTTGTTGTCTGAATTTCTCACATAAAGTCATCAATGCTTCTCTAGGTAGAATCAAGACTCCTAAATCTGATGTTGTCCCTTTTCTAGACAAGATTACTAGAGAAATCACAACTAATAAAGTCTAGCAATGGCCAAAGAAGAGCTTAGTTTCATATGGAAATCTTAGTTTAAAGTATGTAATGTTGATTAAAATAGGTGCAACAAATTGGGCACCCATCAATCATAGCTCATGCATCATGTCTATCTTGACCGAGCTTATTTTCAAATTGGGACAAAGTCCAAATTGATTTTTTGTAAATATGTTTTTGATCAGACAATGAAACATGTTAATTCTTATGCTGTAAAACTTCCCATTTCCTTTCCTTGTTTACTCATTAGTATCATATTGAAGCAACACCTCAATATAGTGCATGCTGATGAAATCAAGAGAAAAAAGCCAGGTTCACTGACTTTGGACTGTAGGCTCTTTATGGAACAAATGCCCCATACATTGTGGTGCCAAGTAACAAAAGGCATGCAACTAGTAAGGGTTTCTCTTTTGTGTCCAAATCCACCAAAGAGGATGTTCTACATGAATTGGTAGAAGTTTCAAAGGCTCTACAAGAAATAATCACTTCAACCACCATTAGAAAAAAGAAGATGTATGAATTGATCATGTTGTTGACTAATGAAGAGGATGAAGAAAAGGAGGTTGATTGTGAAGGAGAAGAATTTGGAAGATAAGAGGAGGAGGACAACTCTGAAGAGTAAGTTGTCTGATGATGTCAACCAGGATGTGTCAGACATCTGGTTTGACATATGATGCCTGATGTAGCTGGTTGTTATTTAACTACATCTTTTTTAGTTTCTTTTAATTGTATTTTTGGCCCTTATATGGGTCCTATTTTGGGAATGATGATGTAAATTTATCTATTATTTACACTATTGAACAAAGTATCACCCGTTTTGAATGTCAATGATTATTGCTCCGACATCAGGTTCAACATCTTGTGTGTCTACTCCTCGTCTACAATTCTTATCCTTACCGTATTCAAATTGCAATAAAAAGAAAATGTAGGCACAAATTTGTTGTGAAAAATGTGAGGTTCACTAGGAATGCATGCAACTTTGAAGAAGTAGTTTTTAAAGGGCTTATGTGATGAATCAAACCAAGAGAAAATTTTTTATGTTTTAGATGTCCTCTTAGGTAGCAAATACCAACCTTACCCTAACCTTGAGAATATAGAAACAAAATAAAATTTTGGTTGTGCAAGTGCATTTTTCTGTATGCACATATCAAATCAAAGTATGAATTTGAGAAGGAGAAAAATTTAACCACCACATACCTTAAATTCGAGGATTTAACCCGACACCCCCTCTTTTATACCTGGCACCGCCCAACTTTATTTGATGATTTCAAAAGTGTCCCTGCTCAAAATTAGATTCAGACGTGCGTACAAAATTTCCGATAGGTAATTCAGAAATTTTGGAACAATCAAAATTTTTGATAGTGTATTCATAATTTTCAATATGAACTAATACCTGAATTTTCAAATATTTCTGGTACGTTTAAAATTTTATCGATATATTAAAAAAATACCATGTTATACAGGAAATTTCAACCAATGTGAAGTTTCCAATAGTTCAATTTTATAAGTTTTCAACGGTTAGTAAGGCTGGCAATGAACCAAACCAACTCGAAGATAGTTCGGAATTCGACTCGACAATTAAATCGTTGAACTAGGTTCATGAACCAAATGAGTTGAGTATGAGCGAAAAATTAAGTTCGTTAACTAAATGAGCTGAACTTGAACTATACATAGTTCGACTCGTTAGGTTCATGAGTCAACTCGATTACATATGAAAAGAATTATACTGTCTTTAAGATTAGGTTTAAATATTTACTTCAAATCTTAGACAAATTTAATCTTCAATTTAGTAGTTTTTGAATTAGACTCTCAAATGTATCTCTTGAAAGTTGTGTAGGTTTTGAATTAGTAGATTTCGAAGATAAAGTTAAAGTTCAATATGATAACTTTTATTTTATTTTAATATTTTATTTAAAAAAATATATATTTATTTAAAATGTCAAATATACTAAAAAATATATATATTTTTAAAAATAGTTTTTAAGTTCGTGAACCATGTGAGCTAACCTAATGAGATGAACCTAACGAGTCGAACCGAACTGTTCGTGAACTTATAACGAGTCGAGTTTGAGCTTAAAAAAAGTTTGTGTCAAACTCGAATTCGAACAATTCTTAACGAGTCGAGCCGAGCTGAGGTGAGTTCGACTCGACTCGACTCATTTCCAGCCCTAACGGTTAGGATTTTTTCGACAGTTTTACACTGTTGTGATTGCACCGACCGTTTTCTGTGGTCCTTAATGAATTTAAAGTTGTATAAATAAGGGTTATCTATTGTTAAGAAAAAACATCTAAAAATGTATATCCTCAACTTTTGATTAAGGCAGAAGTGTAATTCAACGAAGTTGCACCTCCTATAGAATTTCGACTTCCGGGTGACACCACATCTCTCGCCGCCTTGACATCCAAGTTGAATGAATTTTTGTCTGATACCGATAACAGAAAGGTAGAAAGACCGAGTTTCATGAATATTAGATTGATACTGACGAAAGTTTCATGAATATTAGATTGATACTAACGAAAGGGTGAAATACAATCTTATTGAGTTGAAGACCGATGAATATTTGACAGTTATGTGGAGATCATTTCGTTGTAGGCTAACTAAGGGATGGATCAAGTTAGATGTGAAGATTTCAACATATGTCGATGACATAATTAAGATACTAAAACATCCAGAATCATCGGGTAGTGTCTAGGTTTTCATGTTTCTTTATTGTTTATTTATGTTCGTTGTCATGTCTTAAGTTATGTTCATCTTTGAAACATGTAATCAACAAAATGTTATGTAATAAAAGGTATGGTGCTAAGTAGTCAGATTCACATAATGAAAAGGTATGGTGTCGTCCTTCCCTCTAATTTTCATTGCAAAATGAAAAATACAAAAAAATCAATGAACTATCAGAAATTTTGAAATTACCTACATATCATCAACTTTTTAAACTACCGGAAATTTAGTAATTCCCAGTAAACATACATATAAAAATATCAAAATTTCTAAAAATCTAAAGGATTGTACCAGACTTTTTGAAATTTCCAATAAAAAGCTTATTTCTCATAAAATTTCCTATTGAATTGTGAAATTCCCGATATTAGCTCCAAAGCTTTTGAAATTTGCATGGGTAGGCAGGTTAAATTCAAATAAAGATTGAAAAAATCAAACTCATCACTATTGCCCTTACTAAGATAAACTCAGTCAGCCTCATCTAAACATACAAAATATCCCTATCTAATACTTTCCTCCTTTTTAGTATGAAAAATTCATATCATACTAAAGTTTTTTGTGTGTTTATGCATAAGTAAGTGTACATGGTCTGAGCTCTACGTCATAAGTGTTTATGCTAACATTCTAACTCCAAGAAAAAATATTGATAAGAACGAGGTTAGACACGAGAATAGTGCATGCCACATTGAGAAAGTTGGAATTCCTGGTCAAAGGGCCTCAATAAATGCATTCCCAAATCTGTCATATTGGCATGTGGTAAAAATAATGCAGGACCAAATAACAGGTCACACGGCAATGTTGATTACTTTCCCATATCACTGCTAATATTTAATACTATAGGACTTAATTTAAGGACGGAAAAGAAGGGAGGAGAAATTATTATTTCAAAGTTTTGCATATTCAACATGCAACTATAAGTTAAAAGTTGAATTATTACAAAATTTATTCATCAAGAAACATAACTAAGAGAGCCTAGTTTCTTAAACTCAAAAATCATCATATCTAAATATCAATTGGGCACCCCTTAGGGAGAAAACTCAGTAAGAACTACTACTCAATCGCGAAACTCATTCATGAACTTTTCATGAAACTCGGTCAATCGGGTGACGATGGCTGGAATCCTATCTTCTTGAGGCAATATGGTGCACCTAAAATGCCATGTGCCAGATACCTTCAACACAAAAACAAATATTTCTTGCATAGTTAGTTTATAATCAACTCAATAATACAAAATGCAACTTTAGTAGGGAACAATCAATATATCATAGGTAAGATTAAGGTCAGTGAATTTAAAATGTAAATGAACTAACCTGCCCAAAACCAGAACCAGGAACAACAACGATTCCTGTGGCATTAAGTAAGCGTTTGCAATAAAACGCATCAGGTGCTCTTTTTTCAGCCTCTGCAGCTTTGATAGCCTTTTCGGGCAGGCGAATCCGAGGAAACAGGTACATTGCCCCTTCTGCTTTGTTGCAGGTTACACCTTCCAATTTGTTGAAAGCTTCTTCTAGTGCCTATGCAGAAAATACAAATAAATCGTGGAAAATGCGTCAGAAAACTCGTTAATGTTTTCAATTTGCTCATGACATGGTAAAATTTGCAAATATTTTGCTATTTATGGTTTAGCATAAGTGTACGGTAGGAGAATCCTTTTAAAAATTATTGCCATATCACTAACCTTGGCACGCGAAGCAAGGGAAGATAAAATACCACCCTTCTCAGCCATGTATGACTCGTAGGACTCATCTCCAACCTGCATAATACATTCATTGAATTCACTGAATCTTACACGTGGAACCCAATATCAAACTAGTAATGCATGTTTTCTTTCTATGAAAAGATGATTATGTCAAGAAAATTTTCAAGTTCAGGAGAGAGAGTGTCGGGGTAGCGCCTATAAGGGAGTAGATGTTAGAAAATAGACTTAGATGGTTTGGGTATAAAGAGAGAAGACAGGTAAATTCTATAGTCAAGAGGGTAGACCAGATGGAGAGTATGCAAACAATTAGAGGAAGAGGAAGACCTAGAAAGACTATAAGAGAAGTTATTACGAAAGATATCGACATAAATGATTTGAATAGAAGCATGGTCCTTGATTGAACATTAAGGCGAAAGTTGATCCATAAATCCGACCCCACTTAGTGGGATAAAACTTAGTTGTTGTAATACATTATTTATTATAAATGTCACTCATAAGTCATGTACCAATCTTAATTGAGGTAAGTTCTATATTTAATATTCTTTATATGCACAAAATGAAGTTATTACCAAAGAGAAATTTGTCTTTAAGAGGAGGAGAAGGGTTAACCGGCTTAGTTATTGTAATACATTATTTATTATAAATGTCACTCATAAGTCATGTACCAATCTTAATCGAGGTAAGTTCTATATTTAATATTCTTTATATGCACAAAATGAAGTTATTACCAAAGAGAAATTTGTCTTTAAGAGGAGAAGGGTTAACCTTAGGTGGACTCATGATCAAACTTGCAAGAATTTGACCACTGATGTTAGCACAAAGATTCACAGATGCCACTTTATAAATCTGTTCCCTCACATCTGGAGAAAACCCAGTCACCTCCATATAACCTCCACGTTTTCCACACTCCCCGTGATAGCCTGAAGCCAAACAGAAAGACATTTTCAATCAGTGTGGATCACCCTACCAGCATAAAAGTATATTCTGTCTATATAAATAAGTTGATTACTATACCAACTTACCTTTGGAGACGGACTGAAAAGATACTAAGCTGATATCATTGTCGCCGTATCCCATGGATCGAGATACCTTCTTGAAAGAATGAAATTTCTTCTCAGGAGCATAAATGTTTTCTTGATATACCTACAAAATGAATTTCATGCACAGAATAAGAATGGTACTATGTCACATAGTTCAACAAAAAAACAGCTGTTCCAGACCAACATACATACATAAATAGGTGAGACCGGTGATGTAAATAGCAAATGCAGAAAATAGCAGTTTGTTCAAATTTCGCTACTCAGTTGTGCTATAGCACAGCAATTGCGGCTATTTCACAATATTTTGTTCTAGTATATGTTGTATCATAGAACAATAGTGATTTTTCAAATTTCTCTACGCTATAGCACTGCTATTTAACAACCCTACGTGAGTAATATATTTATCTTGAAATCTGAAAAGTTCAGATACTATTCAACAACCTTTCTGAGTTTCGTAACCAAAAAATAGTTAAGTTACCTCATCAGCCAAAAGAACCAAACTTTCTTTCTTGCAAAATTCTACTATATCCTTTTGGTTTTGCTCAGCAAGAACCTGTAGAGATGATAGAAATTTAATATTATCCAATATGATCAACTTAGCTTCATACTCTTATCAATATGCATCTTCCTATATTAACACTAAATAGTAATTCGCAGCTCACCTGCCCTGTTGGATTACCGGGGTTTATAACAACTAAAGCCCTAACAGTGATGCCCTTGGACCTGGCATCTTCCAACTGCTTCTTGAGTTCAGATATTTCAAGCCCCCAACCAGTTGCTTCATCTAGATAATAAGGAACCTGTAGAAACAATATCAATATGATATTCCATCCAATCCAAGTAATATAAGAGCATAATTCAAATTCAAATTTTCAACGTAACAGGTGACTGCTTGCCAATCATACAAAGCTATTTGTCAAGTTGTCAACATTTACATAGACCGTAGACCATTTTTTCTGATATGTATTCTATTCTTAAAAAGGGTTTATAGCCTACTAGTTACAAATGTTGTCAACATATACATAAATCATAGCAGTTTATTCAAATTTCTCTGTGCTATAGTAGCAATTTGACTACACTTGTGATTGGGTAGAGAAAATGTTACCAGGTGGCCACCATGGAGGGTAATTGAGGCTGAGTAGAGAGGGTACTGAGGGATGGGACACAGAATACCATCAGTTTCCGATCTAGTGAGTAATTGCATCATCATATGGACCTGAAAATATAAAAATCAGTCTTTAAACCATGCACAAAATTCAAATGAAAATAAGTTTACACGGTCAACATTTAAAGCCAAAAAAGGTTTTCACAATAATCAGTCATCAACAAGTGATGCAGTTGGTAGTGCACAGGCTTGGAGGATTAAGACTTTGATTGGGATGAATTGAACTGTTAACATTCAACATGTCTAGAGAGGATAATAAAGTTGTCAATGGTCAGACCCCTCATAAGATTTTCAATTTAGTTCTTGCTAATTTGCTTGGAGTTTCTAATGTTCGCTTGAATTTTTGTGGTTCTCCTTTGGGATTGTAAACCCCTTTAAATCTCAACAAAAAAAAAGGGAGACAATTATCAAAAGCAAAGTAGATACATACTGCTGGGCTTGCACCATCTGTCAAGAAAATGTCATCGGCATTAGCAGGAAAACCATCACGCTCCCCAATTCCAGCAGCTATTGTATCACGCAAACCCTGAATACCCTGATGTGGAAATAAGAACAATTTCAAGGCCCATCCCAGTGTACAATGAAGGGATAATAATCAAATAAACCAAATTAGATAACCCCATCAATACCTGACTATGACTATAGGCACCAGTTGCTCTCCCAGGAATCTGATCCACAATCTGCCAAGCTCGTTCTATTGAATCAGCACTGCAATATGTCAAAGGTCAACTTCAACGTATTTATAAAGACTAAAAAAATATTAAAACCAATGTTGTCAAACACAGATCACAGAAAATGGCCGTTTGTTCAAATTCCGATGACTAGTCTTGTAGTCTTATAGAGCTGAGCTACTACAGCCGCTATTTGACAACACTATGCACTAACAAGAGTAAGAGTTTCATGGAAAAATAGTAATTCATTCAAATTTCATTACTTAGACACTAATCAAAACCTATAACTTAAAATCATCAGTAACAAAAGCAAGTTTACTTTGCTTCAGAGGATAAACTACAACATTGTAAAAATGGATTAGAAATCTGATATTCATTGACATATTCACATTCAATTTTGATGTTGTGGATAGACTATTCAATCACTAATATATTTTCCATCCACAAAACCGCTAAGATTACTGTGCCACTATGTTTTATTTTATCCTAATACCTGAACAAACCCTGAGTTTCACTTTTGTCCAAAAGAGCTGGATAGTCACATAATGCAAGAACCTGGCAGAGATGAAATCGTAAAATAATCAGTAGTCAATTCATATCAAATTAGCTGCATTCACCATACAGAATTATAAAAAACTAACCTCTCGGAAAAAAGTTATAGGCTGCTGGCCAAGAGACTGAGGATTTCCAATGTTGCAGTAAATTATCTATTTTCAGATAAAAGAAAAATGAGAGGAGAAAAACCAAAACAACAACAACAACCAAATTATCTATAAAGTTGAAAAGGAGAAATACCTCGTCAAAAGAATGAGCATCTGGATTGGCCAGCAAATCTTTTTGCAAATTCTGCAGAATTAAGGAATTGCAAGTTTGATAAATATTCCAGATATTAAACAGCAAAGACAATTTCAAATTTAAAGCTATATAGTGTTAGAAGAGCACCGTGGCAAGTGTTCTTAGTTAATTTGTCAAGTGAAATAATATAAAATGTTAATATTAGAAAAATCTGTCTGAGACAGAAATATCTTTTCAATGAAACCTGATTCCACTAATACTATATACAGAAAAATCACAGTACCTGAGCAAGCGTAACAATCTCTCCTCGAACAGCATACTGACATTGCAGAACCTAAACAGGAAAAAAAAACCAATGTTTCAAACAAGCAAGTAACCGAAGATTAAATAACAATGTCACTGAAGAACAAATTATGGTTAATTCCCATTGCATCGACCACAATTCAGTATCGTATTCGCAAAAGACTTTACGCAATTATCGCATAGTATAAAAAAAAACACAAAGCAAAAAAGCACTGAATTAAGCATAACACTACAGAAATCCGCTATTAATCAGTCCTCAGTCACACAACCAAACAGAAATCAAATCAAAATGAAAAAACAGAAATCAAATCAAAATGAAAAAATCAGATTCAAACCTGAGGTCATCATAATAACAATCACCCCTTAAAAACCCCAAAAATTCAATCAAAAACAACCACACAACAAAAATTCATTTCCATGCAGAGACACAACGAATCTAAAAAAGCATGAAAAATCGGTAATCAGAGAAAATATAAACCTGCGGGTTGATATTTTGAGCGGTAACAGGGAAAGGGGAAGAAGAATTGGGAGCCATGGAAGACGATGAACGAAAGGGAAGAGGATTGATAGGATGGCGATGGTGATGTTGAGATGTAACGAGTGAACGGTTGAAAAGATGCCTGAATCTGTCTACAGCGGATTTCCGCATTATGTGGGTTTATATAAGAAGAAAATGTGAGGTTTGGTTCTGTTTTGGTGTGTGTGATGTGAAGTTAAAAGTAACGTGGGTTTGCGTGTGTGTCTAGAAACTCTTGAAGCACAAGAAAACAACCTATGGAATGGAAATACGTTTCTAACATTCCCATGAGCCGCCCATTTTATTGGCTGATTTCTCTCTTTTTTATTGAATAAAAATTGAATATATACTTTCTTATATTGGGCTTTTTACAAGGTTTATGGACTTTTCTATAAACAAAAGTCTTAATAGTAGTTTTTCAGAAATTTTAATATTATTTTATTTTTATCATTTTTTTTTTTCATAAGAGACGGGTTTCACCTACCGATCCATCACTCCCTCCATTCTCCCGCAGATGATTCAATTTGGTTTTTTGATTCGGATGATTCAATTTGGTTTTTTTGATTTTACTTTAATTTTGACCGACTAGCAATTTTGAAAGGTTAACCAGACCGGAATTAACTCCGGTTCCAAGTCCAACCGGCCGGTTCGGTTTGGTTTTTGAAACATTGATCCAAACAATGGAATGAGATATCGATTCACTCCATTATGTTCCACTCTATTTCACTCTGTTTCATTCTACTTCACTCTGTTCGTTTTGAAATATTTAATCATAATAAATTATTCGTGTAATAAGTTAGCCCTTTAAATTTTTTTAAACTATTTGATCTTTTAAGTTATCAAACATGTGTGTATTGATATTTTTTTTAACTGAGTGAATGTGCTAATTTGATTGAATCTCCATTTATTTTTATCTTAATTTTATTTCTTTTATTTACATTTCTCTAAAAACTGCAGCAACGCTCTGCTACACTTTGAAGCATTAAGGGTTAAAAGATCACACATTTTCTTGATCAAGTTTTCTATCGTGTTCATTATGAGATAAAACATTTGTGTTGTGTTGTGTGAAATTTATCTATGACTTAGTTATATTAATGTTAATGTTTATGGGTGTTTTTTGCATTATTAGTACTTGTACATTTATTGCTATATATGTATTTTGAACTTGATCAACATAATAGATATTAGCTTGACAAATAGTGAAAACATATAAGGAATGAAATCCAGGTTGCTAATATAGTAATTTATGTATTTTGAGAGGGTTTTATCATCTAAAAAAGGATAACGGTCCTGCTTGTTATTTGTTTCCATTTTTTATATAATCTTAATTATAATAATAATTATTATAGACACATTAAACTGGCCAAAATGTATAGCCTTAAGATTTAGAATTTAAAGTGAATGAGCATGTTTTAATACAAGTAAAATGTGTCGGTTTCCATTTATTACTTATTTGTGATTACATATATTTGCATGCCATTGGGGAGATTATTTTGGTGTCGGTTTCTAGGATTGAATTGTGTGATTTTGGTTTAATCATTCTATAATGCATTTCAACTAGTTAAGCTTCTAATATATTTCTTGTGATTTGCATCGTAGCATGATGTTTCTTAAAATGTGTATGCAGAGGTTGCTAACACTCGAGTTCATAGTTAAACTAAAGATATAATGCTTCTTTTAGAATCATAAGAAGATTTCAAAGAGAACACTAACTAAATCCCGATGGTCTTGCTCTTACTAAAGTATTAGAATAAGTTGAATGTTCTTTGAAGAACAATAGTTTAAGGCTCAAAACACTGACATCATCGGTAATACAGATGATAAAGAAAGATCAACCAGAGACTAAGCAGATTTTGGTCCTAATGCCATGAATTTTGGGATCATCATCCTATAAATCATAGTTGTTCAATTTGAGTTAAAACTAATGATGTCCAAAATGCTTTTAGTGTGCGACAGTTGTTTGTGTTATTCTTATCGGAGGAATTTATCATTAGGAAGTATTGAACATTGAGTCAAGAGTAACACAAGTGAGAAAGACACCACATATTTACCCAAAATCGCCCTCACATGAAAACTCTTTTGTTCAGTACCGCCGTTACGAGACACTACTTCCTGGATGTTTCGATACACGTAAGTCAGTCCCTTTACGAACCAAAGGCTCATGATACCATTGTTATGGGAGTGTTTTATTGAACATTGTAGGACTTCTTTTCTAGAGCAACATTTTTGTGAGAGACACATCACATACTCACCCAAAATCTTAAGGTGATAAGTGTATATGTTCTCTCACTTATAAATGATCAAGTCACCACATTTCTATCCAATGTGAGACTATTACACATACTACTCACACTTGTTATACTTAACACTCTCACTCAAGTGTGAGTCTATCCACAATGCTTCCACATTGCTCCCTCTTAAGCAGAAACTCTTTTCTACTTCCACATACACTTGTGTCGTCGTTGATACTCTTCAACGAGACACTTTACCCACGATCTGTAGGGATACTTTCGATACAAGTGAGTCGGTCTCTTCCTCGAACCAGACTCTGATACCACTGTTGGAAGTATTTTTCACTAGTGAGCATTGAACATTGTGAGACTTCTTTTCTAGAGCAACACCTTTGTGAGAGACACACCACATACTCACCCAAAACTATGTGGTGTGTCGTTCACAAAGGTGTTGCTCAAAGAAGGAAGTCCCACAATGTTCAATGCTCCCTAGTGAAAATCCCCCCAACAATTCCTTTGGTTGATTGCTTTAGGTAAAACAATATGAGAAAAACAAGATAAATTTGTGAAGAGGCAACATGTGAGACAAGATGTTCCAGCATGTGTAGAGCATTTGTCCTCAACCTAGATGACATATTTAATGAGTAAATATGAACGCGTTTTTGGTTGATTCCAAGAAGATTTGTCATTTAAGTTTTGTATCTTTTAGCAATATGATATTAAGGAAGATTGACTAAAAGATTATCCAAGACCATATCAAATCTAAGAAGATTTAAATTGATTTTAAAATTATATCTTATTGGATAAGAAAATCAAATCTTCATCAAAAACAAATTTTCATCAAATCAAATCTTATTGAAGACCCAACAGATGGATTGCTATATATAGAGATTCAGACCCAACAAAGAAAACACAAAAAAAGGAAGATATTGACGTTTTATTGTGCTAGGGTTTTGTTCTTTGAGTCCTTGTTCTTGTTGTATATTGTAAATCTTTAAAGAAGAATAAACTGAATATTCAAGGCATAGAGGTTGATTGTTAGTTGAGTTGTAATTTAACATCTATATTCAAATGAAAGCATTGATCGCTAGGATAGTGATTGAGAGAAAGTGAGAAGGGCTATCATATTTAGGAGGAGTTCTAAATAGAAATAACCGGGTAATATTATGAAGTAGTCATTGAACAATGTTTGTTTATCTAAGACTAATTGTACTAATACTATTGAGAGTATATTTTCTTTCTTGGATTGTAAGCCCCTCAAACATAGGTGATATTACACTGAACTAGGTCAACAATTCTCTTATGTTCTTTATTGCTATCTGCTTTAAATTCATTAGTCTGTGATAATCTGTTATAATCTATTTTGTATGTTATACATTGTCTAAGGCATAGTGTCCACCATCTGTCATGCGTAGAACATAACTTCAATTAGTATTAGAGCTAAAGGAAAAATCAAAGGTATATGCAAACTGGTATATCCAAGTCTTCCTAGCCTTGATGATGTGAAGTTGGTAGAAGGATTAACTGCAAACTTGATAAGTATAAGTCAAATATGTGATCAAGGTCTGAATGTGAGCTTTAACCAATCAAAATGCAACAAAGATCAAGAAGTGTTAATGAAAGGATCTAGATCCAAAGAAAATTGTTATTTGTGGGTATCTCAAAACAAAAGTCAGTCCTCAACGTGTTTGAGATCCAAGGTAGACGAGACTAAGATATCGCACCAAAAACTGAATCATCTCAACCTCAAGAGTATGAAAATGATCATATCTGAAGATACTGTTAAGGGATTACCGAAACTCGAGATTGAAGAAGGAAAAATATGTAGAAAATATCAAATAGGCAAGCAGACCAAGATGTTTCACAAGAAGCACCAACATCTTACCACCTCAAAAGTTCTAGATTTACTTCATATAAATTATGCTAATAAGAATCAAATTAAATAATTAAAAAATAATATTTCCTATAACTATTTCAAAAAAGAAATTCATATTTGGTGTGATGTGTAAAGTTGAAAACTTACGTGAAACTGTTGAATTGGAACACAAAACTAACAACTAATGAACTATTGGGACGTTTTAACATGTCCATGTTATTGTAGTATCAAATTTCGTCCATCTATGTACTGTACGACTCTGCACACGAATCGAATATATACTACAAATATTCACTTACTATATTGTTCTCATTACTTTGTTACTTTTTTTTCTTCTCCATTCAATGTTACCCTTTTTAATATTTTTTATTTGATGCGGTTACCTTTTTCAAATGTAAGAATTTTTTATTATAAATATAATATTACACTAGAGTTATTATTTAATTAATTAAAATTAAAATAATCTAATCATTAAAGATATATATGTCATCAAAGATTATTTTATAGAAATTATAAATTAATATTTTAATTTAATAAGGAGTCAAATTAGAATATTAAAAATTAAACAGTAATCATAATGAAGTTGTTTATATGAGTTATGATCTTTATTTGTAAAAGAACTGTCAATATGATTTATCAGATAGTCTCTCTTCATCTCCATCAGAAGAGAATAAAAAAATTTTAAGAGACTCTACAAATCAAAAAATCACATACTTGCAAACCTTCAACGATTTAAATGGCAAACTCAACTACGCTTCCACTTTTATTCCTAATATTGTATTCAGGTATGAGTTTTAAGGATATGAGTTCATAGGATATAAACTTAAAGAGATTAGATTAGGATTATGTTCTTGATTTTCATATGGATAGAGATACATTTATAACAAATAAGTCTAACAAGTGGTATCAGAGGCACTCTTGCCTGATTCAATTTGATTTTTGGGACTTTTAAAGTTAAAGTTCTAAAATTGAGATTTACTTTGATCTTTTAAGTTGGGTGAAAGCTAATGTTTATATGTTGTAAT